ACGAGTCTACTGAGGGGCTTCACCTGTAAGAAGAGGGATGTTCAGAGAGGAACAGAGCCAGGGAGAAAAAAAATCTCGAAATGTAGAGGCACCATAGCCTTGGGCATTCTTGAAGTTATTAAGGCCGCCATACAGGGGTTTTCACTGGATTGACAATCTCACTAGAAAACACAAAGAGATCCTTTGCAGCAGAATGAGAGCCCTGTCAAAGGAGTGGAAATGGAGATGGCTGTTATAAAGAGCTTGCTTGAGAAATTTGACTGGAAGAAAAAGTGAACTTATTTTGTATGAATGTCTCTCTGTTTCTCTGTCTCTTCTCTCTCTTTTGATTGTGTGTGTGTGTGTGTGTGTGTGTGTGTGTGTGTCTGTCTGTCTGTCTCTTTCTCTCTCTCTCACTGTCCCTGTCTTTCTGTCTGCTTCTGTCAGTCTGTGTCTGTCTGTCTGTCTGTGTGCATGTGTGTATTTGTCTATCTCTGCTTCTTTCCCTCTCTCTGTCCATCTATCTGTCTGTCTGTCTGTCTCTCTCTCTCTCTCTCTCTCTCTCTCTCTCTCTCTCTCTCTCTCTCTCTGTGTGTATGGATGTCACATGACACAGAGTGCACTTGTATAGAGGAAAGCTTGTGGTAGTTGACTTTTTCTTCCCACCACATGGATCCTGGGTTTTGAACTTAGGTCATCAGGTGAGGCTTCTAGTGTCCTCCTTACTCACTGAGGCATCTCACCAGCCCCAAGGTACTGATTTTACTGTATTGCATTTGTTATTGGTACTGATTCTTTAAACAGCACATAAACTTCCTTTGGGCAGTTATCAATATTTGCAGACTTATCATTTGCATCAGGAACTGATAAAGGAATTGTGTGACTGATGGAAGTTATTTTTAAAAGATGAATTTAATAATAAAATAACAGCAAGATTTTTATGACTTGGTATAAGATGAATTGCTAAATGGTCTTATTAATAAAAAACCTGGAGCCAGATATTGGGGTGAAAACTGAGAGATCAGGAATAGGACAAGCCACAGTCAACCTCACCTCACCAACTCCTCAGCTTCCAGAGAGACCTATTTCCTGTATACCCAGGTCCATATGCCTTTCTGTTCTGCCATCTCACTTCCTCTCTCTGCCCAGTTACATCACTTCCTGTCTGTCTGTACAGACTTCCAGACCTCTATGGTCAGTGCTGGGACTAAGGCATGTGCCACCATGCTTGGTTCTGTTCCCAGTGCGGCCTTGAACTCACAGAGATCTGGATGGATCTCTGCCTCCCAAATGCTAAGATTAAAAGCATGTGCTACCGTGGCTTGACTTGTATGTTTATTATAGTGACTGCCTTTTTCCTCTGATCCTTAGATAAGCTTTATTAGGGTGCACAATATATTGGGGGACACAATATATCACCACAACTTGGCTTTAAAAGGATGGAAGGTTGTTAGGGTGGGTAGGGATCAACAGCCTTAGAGGCTGCCGAAGATGGATCCTTCCCTCATGATGGGCTTTGACACCACCTCTGACTTTCCTGGATAATGGAAAGGAAAACATCACAATTGCCCTTCCTTAGGCCTCTTGGCCAAAAGAATAGAGTAGAATATATTTTTCAGGAAGTAAATGTAGCTGGGCCTGTCAATTACCTGGTTAGGAGGCCACCCCACTGGAAATCTCAATACGTTGTAAGGGAATGGGAGGTATAATAGTTACCCACTTAATGAGATAATGTGCTTTGCCCAAAGCTCTCCTTCAGTGCGCCACAAACACACTTCCCTTAAGTCAGCACTGTTAAACTTGACCACTTTTTAAAAAATATGCATTCTAAGCTTAAATAACATAATTTGCTGATCCACATCTTTTCCCAAAAGCCTAGACCTATTTTTTCCTGTGTAAACATGCCTTCCTGACATCCTGGGCTATCTCACTAGTTATCTGAAGCTCCACTCGACCCTTGTACCAGCCACTGTGGACCTCCATTACTGAGCACATCCGCTTCCACACAGCATGGTGTCCTTGGACCCTTTCCCCATCTCTCTCCTGCTGGGTGCTGCCAAGATTTACAGCTTTCCTGCCCTGTTTTTCTCTGACACACAAATAAAATTGTGCTTGAGTTTCCTTCTGAATCTGTTTCAAAATTCTTTTGTTAACAAGGCAAGAGTTTGAAAGGGATCCCAATTTCCCCAATAACAAGATTTGTTCATTCTTTTTCTAATTCTGAGGCTGTTTCAACAACATGAAAACATTTTCTATACTAAAAACTAGAAAAGAAGTTATAGGAATAAATGGAAAATAAAGCTGGGTTTTGAAAAGTCCAAAAACAAAATTCATAGCTTTTGTTTGAAGACTCAAACATGTACCCTACTTTAATATAAACATTTGAAAAGCTAAGCTTTGTTTATATTTTTGCTATTTTTTTTTCAAAATGTATTCTCTAACCTTGTAATCTTATGACAAATTTTAATTTAATTTACATAAAATCTAGTTTATTTCAATATCATACTTGTTCTCTTTGGAAGCATATTTTTAAATTATTTCTTCTCATTATTTGTGATATTACAAGACAAAATGATTTTAATCTAGACTAGTGTTTAACAGTATTGCATGTTCTTATTTAAGAACTGCTCACAATGCTCTTGAAAACAAATTGCTGAAGGACCATGCATATACTTCCACACTTACCACACTTATCCTGTGTCTCTGTCACCTGACCCTTCTATCTTCTGAGTCTTCATGTGTTCCCTGCCTCCTGTATTTTCTGGGTCTCAAGCAACTCCCTTAAAATGTCTGTCAGTGTGAACAGGTTGTGCAAATACTTTTTCGGATGACTGTAAATGGCACATGGAGATTGGTAGACTTTCCTTCCTCCTCCTATGGGTATTCCAGCTGGGCCTGGCTCTTCCTGCCTGGATCCTGGAACCCATGCTTAGTTGGAAGGAATTTCTTTGTCACAGGATCTATTATGGACAAATAACAGCATTTTCTCTCAAATCAAATACGACACCAGGCACTGTCTCTGCTGCGCATGCAGTTTTCCCTCAGGTCATGTATGTTCCACACAGAAGTACATGCCTCTTTACAGCGTGTAGGGCCCCTGGGACTCTGAGAGTGTTAGAGGTCATGTATGTTCCACGCAGAAGTACATGCCTCTTTACAGCGTGTAGGGCCCCTGGGACTCTGAGAGTGTTAGAGGTCATGTATGTTCCCCGCAGAAGTACATGCCTCTTTACAGCATGTAGGGCCACTGGGACTCTGAGAGTGTTGTGACAGTTAAGGACTGATGTTTTCTGCTAAATGTTTGCTTCTGAAGCTCTTCAGTATTTGGTTGGTTCCATCTTGGCTGTTGTTTGTTTTGCTATTTATTTGTGTGGCTCCAGTCATCTCTCTGGCTTTGACAAATTTCTAATGTAGCTGTTCTTGCAGACTCCACTACGAGCCCAAACTCACCGAAAGCAACTCTTTTCTCAGTGTCTCCTTCCAGCCCGTGACATGACATACAGATCTAGTAACTATTGGAAATTTTACTATAGACTTCAGAGAGCATGGAGCACGTTGTTGTAGGGAGGGGGAGTAATTGCCCTCCTACTTTAAGCAGTTCCTTTTCATAAATAATAATTTTTGTTTGTGTAGTAAGAAATCCATCACATAAACTTTTTACTATTTTTTCTTAGTAAACGTGATGTACCAATTCTACTATGTTACACAAATCTGATTCACAAAAATGTTCATTACATTTGCTTTCTTTGTCAATTACAACTTTTTCTAAAACCTAAGATGATTGTTTTTTATAAGAACCAGAAGTTAAAATATGAATATAGAAACACACAATTGCTGACACCTACTATTGCCTAGATGTATTAACATACAATTGTTTCATGAATTCTCATAATTAATTATTTCCATGCTTAGAGAACATTATCCACACATACAAAAGTGGCTCGTAGAGAAATGGCTACCGGGATGACAGAATTAACCACGAGTCCTGTCATGTAATGAGACCTGAACCCTGATCCTCTTCAAGTAGAGTTGAGTGCATTTAACCACTGAGGTGCCCTCTCAGCCCCAGTTCATCTGTCGCACTAGAAATGGTCACTCTACTTACAGACATCACCTCACACCGTATTTAAGAAATAGATTCCCTGGGTCCCCAGCCCTTTCTTTTCTTACTCTTACTCTTTTCTTACTGCACTGGAACCTTGAGCATGCCTTTCCGAACAGCTGCAAGACAACGTCGGCATGAGCTAAGATAAACCTTGCAAAGCACAGAACACAGTGGTTGGTGTGCGACAAACACAAAGTCATTCTTCTTTCATGGATGTAGATATTTTGCTTTTAAAAATGCCTTTTCTTGGTTAGCAAAGCAGGCCACAGTAAACTGTGTTAGAAAGGGAGAAGTCTTCATATCCCCGTGAGAAGGAAGTTGTTTCACTGGGAAGGTAAGGGATAGAGTCAACTCTCAGTAAAATCTTGAACTAAGTAAGGAGAGAGTAGGTAACACAACAGTGCTGCTATTCTCTTTCCCCTTCAAACATATGAAAAACAGAACACAGAGAATGTGGAAGATGTTTAGTAGTTTCAGCTTAGTATTCTATGATCTAAAATGGTAAGCTCTACTAGTGGAATCCTGGGGGCAGAGTCACAGATAAATGGCAGATATCCTATCATTTTGCATAATAGCATTCTACGCCCAGGGCACATATAATCAATCCAATACACTACACAAACATTTAAAAATAGTCTAGAGATTAAAGCTGGAAAAGAAAATGAAGTTATGAAGAGATATTGTGGTGTGCCAAATTAAATTTGAAAAACAATAGATTAAAAAATTTGAAAACAATTCTGTTAATCCAACTAATACTGAAACACAAGGTAGGTCTAACACTGAATTAGTAGAGGAGTTGGACACACAAACTCAATTTAGAATCAGTTGCTGCAGCCAGTCATGATCAGTCAGCCCAAGAGAAGTCTGCAAAGTCTGAGACTGGGAGTAGCAAGGCACTCTGCGTGTCTCTACTCACGTAACAAATGCCTTCACGTAGAGCCTGGCTTGGAGGATGAAACGCTGCTGCTCTTTCTTTTCATGTGTTAAGGACATAAATTTCTCCAAGAAGCAGCGCATTTGACTAAGTGAAGGGAACTGAACAGCCTTCTGTGAAAATCCTTTTTTCAGTTCCCGAACTGTATTCTCAATTTGCAGCATGACATTTCTGAAGTCAAATATGAGAAATTCCACTTTTATTGAACTTCCCACTCACATGTAACCTGTCAATCATGCTTTAGACTTCAGGATCACCAGCTTTTCTCTCTGTGACATAGAAAATATGAAATATTGAAAGCGAAAAAACAACTACAGCCGTGTGGCAAAGATGGGTCACAAAACAAACTATAATGGACCCACTCACTGGTGGTTTATTACTGCTTGCTTATTCTACACAATTTCTAAAAAAGGACAAAACGGTACTTTGTTCTCTAAACTGGCTGATACACTGTAAGTTGGGTATTCCTTTATGTCTAGTTCAGCAGTTTCAGAAACACTGAAACATTCTGCATACAGCTGTGTTCCCACTTGCACAGACGCAACATCTGCCAAAGCAAATACTGGCCTCTCCCTGTAATTCCACCAGAATTTCTCCTGTATTTATGGGATGGGCATGCTGATTATAAGCTGGGGTTCTGGTGTTTGGTTCTCAACTACGTTGTACTTAAGTTCATTCTATGTGTTTTTGGTTAGAACTTGAAAGCAGTGCCACTTTTAGATTTGGGAGGGTGCAAAGAAATACAGCCAGACAATTACATTATGCCCATGATATATCCTCATTATGTGTCTTTGGACCATATGTATATTTGAAGTGCTCACCATTTCTCTCCTTTCCAAAATATAAATTTAAAAACTCTATTATAGATTTGTATTTTGCCTGTACCAGTTAAGAGTACAAAAAATGAATCTTGCTCTTACCATTTTAAAGTATGTGTGCCACAGAAAACCATACGTTGATGAAAAGGTTTTAAAAGACATCAGTCACGATATTATTCTGGGAAATTCATTTGTTAAGTTTAACTCCTTTTAAGAATGAAGAGTTATTCTTAATATTTATCAGTTTAGCAGGGAGTAAAATGATGGAAACTTCTGCTAGAACAGGATAGTAGATGGATTTTATGCTTCTGATCTACACTTGTCCACACATCCTCATAGTTTACTCATTTGATAATGATATCAGTGATGACCTTTTTCCAATAATTTCATTTTATTACTACTTTTCTATAGCTCTCACAAATGGTAACATGTATCTATTCTGGAATTGTAAGTAAAATGTTAGTTTTTACCCCTTCAGCCATTTTTGGTGTACTACGCACTTCCTTCAGTATATACACATACAGTATAGAGTTAGACCAGGCAAGTATCAGTGGAACTAGATCTCTGTATTCTTTTCAATGCCACACTGCATTAAAGGTGGTTATGAAATAAAGCTTTTTAAATTTTATTTTAAATTACTTTTTTTATTTCTTTAAGTTTATATTATAATTACATCACTTCTCCCTTCCCTTTCTTCCTTCATACCCTTTATATAAAACATCTTGATTTTTTTTTCAAATTCATGGCTGGCCTCTTTTAAAATTAATTGTTGTTATATATGTACATGTACATGTATACATATCCATACTCCTAAATACACAGGTACAACTTTCTCAGTCCATAAAATGTTACTTGTATGTAGTTTTGCAGAGATGATCATTTGGTATTAGACAACCAATTAGGGTGATTTTCCCCGAGAAGACTATTTCTCCAATTCTCAGCATTCCTTAGTTGCATATAGTTTTTTGTGAAGGATTGAGGCCTCCTGTTTTTTCCCCATCCATTTTGGCATATCTATTTTTGTCCTTGTTCAGCTCATGTTTAGCAGTCACAGTGATGAGACTTTATGGTATGAGTGTAACCTCTTGTCTTAGTTAGGGCTTCTATTGCTGTTCAGAGACACCATGGCCACCACAACTCTTATAGAGTAAAAACAGTTAATTGGGCAGGGCTGCATTTCCAGAGGGTCAGTCCATTATCATTATGGCGCTACATGGTGGCATGCAGGCAGACATGGCGCTGGAGAAAGAGCTGAGATTCCTACATCTTGACCTATGGGCAACAAGAAGTGGTCTGTCTCACTGGGTGTGGCTTGAGCATATGTGAGACCTCAAAACCCTCCTCCACAGTGACATACTTCCTCCAACAAGGCCATACCTACTCCAACAAAGCCACACCTCCTAAGAGTGCCTCTCCCAATGGGCTTATGGGGGTCAGCTACATTCAAACTACCACACATCTGATACTATAAGGAGGCAGAGTCTCACAGCAAACTCCCTGCTCCTCTGGCTTTTACAGTACTTCTGTCCCTTTTCTACAATGATCCCTGAGCTTTAGGTACAGGTATTGCATTGTAGATGTATCCATTGGATCTTAGCTCCACAACTCTGCATTCGGATTGGTTGTGGCTTTCTGTAGTGTTCTCCATCTGTTGTGAAGAGAAGTTTCCTTGAAGAGTGATGAGGACGGACGACACTTATATCCATGGGTATAAGTCAAATATTTAGAATGTACTTAGGGATTATGTTGGTAGTAAAGTGGTGGTTGTTGATTCGCATTCAAGAGCTAGGTTTCTAGTACCAGGCATGGCTTCCCTCTTTTTGAGAAAATCTTATTCCGATTAGAGGACTGTTCATTGCCACCAAAGTAGGCATGCTGATACTGCACGCTCAGGACTCTCATTCCTATGGGCGGATCATTGTTGTGGCTCACAGGCATCATATTTGTGTAGGACTATTGGATGCTTCCCTCATTTGGAGGCTGGCCTGGTGTTTTCATGCCAAAAAGTATACAAAGCTTCTTGTACCATGGAAATCAGTCCTCAGAAAGCAGGTTTTAGGGTCAGTTTCAGGTCAGGGTCCTCTGAAACCTTTGTCTGAAGTATGTAATATCTTTACCAGCAGGGACTTACTTCAACCTCTGGTGGCAACCAAGGGCAATAGCAATAGCCTGTAATGTTTTGGGAATCTCTTGGACAACCCTAACAACTCAAAAGAGGGCTTCTCATGCCTGGTTTTGGGAATTTCATTATGTGGTCTTTGGCTCTTGAAGGGAACATTGTCAGCCCAGATGGAAAATTTTCCTTTGAAATTTATATATATATCTCACAACTTATGTGTATCATAGATAATTTAAAAATGGAATTCATTTTTAATCATTAAAACCATTTACTATTACAAAAACAATTTTTGGATGACTTTGATTTCTCAGACATATAATTAAGGAAGGTTTCTGATAAATGGCTTTGTTCATTTATTTGGCTTCCATTTGCAAACAAAACAAGAAATCCTCTGTGATTTTCCCCAGTCCTATCAACATTTCTTCCCTACCTTTAAGAAAAGATCACTAGATTTCTTCAAATCGTGGTTTCTTTTGTTTTATGGTTCCTTGGTGCTATTTGTACTCTATCAAGGTAAAAACGAGCATAAATTTGTTCAGCATACCCTCCCTTATCTAATGACACAAAGTGTAGGAATGTCTCCAGGTCCCTTCATCTAGTACCCAGACGCTTACTCAATTTCTCCAGAAACTGTTCCTACCTCCTATTATATTATTGTAAACTGAGAAATAGTTGAATAATTTGACAAGAGTGTTTGAATTAGTTATGGATTATCAGCAGCCATTGAAAGAGCTGTATGTTTGCAAATTTAATAGTGATTTTAAAGTAGTAACTAGAAAAGGATAGGACATCAAGCAAGAAAATATAAGTCATTTAACCATGCAAATATTCTCCTTCCCCAAAGGCCTTGACTTCTTATTAAATTGAATTGTCAATTCCATCACATTATGAGATGGAAAAACAAATCGGTGAAAAGCGATTGGTGTTATAAGTGTGAAACAATAACTGCACAGGGGTTGATGATAAAACTACTTTCTTTAACGCTCTGTGTTTTTCCTTCCGTGAGTGGAATAAAAATAACAAGGTCCATTTGCACACTTGAAAAGTAAATACTGTGGTAAAAGTAAAGACAAGAGATGGATATTCTTGGATCATAAAGTGGAGCAGTATTTGTCAAGCAATGTCAAACTTTTGGTTTGGTTTCAGGAGTTCTTCAAAATATTGTAATTATTAAGGATCCTAAATAAATTTGGGTGATCATATCAATTGATACTAACCATTTTATTGACTCACTTTTAGTTTTTAAGTTATTAATTAATTTAAAATAATAATAACAATTACATATTGACAAATATGAAACTAAAATTTAATTAGAAGAGGAGCATTACTTTATATTTTTAAAGAAATACCTTTAATATTTGATTTAATAGAATACAGTAGAATTTTCATATTTACATCTGATTTCAATCTACTGCCATAAGTTATGGTTAAAGGATCTGAAAAATTCTGGCTTCATGCAGACACATAGTTAAAAAGAGAAAATCTCCCCCATCAAATCTCTCCCCGCAGGGCTCAGGGGGTCCTGGGGAAAAGAAGGTAGAAAGAGTGTTAGAGTCAGAGGTGATGGAGGACACCAGAAGAACAATGCCCTCTAAATCAACAAGATCATTGAGTGTATGGACTCACAGAGTCTGAGGGAGCATGCCCAGGGCCTGCATAGGTCTGCAGCACAAAGGGTCCTAGAGCTGAAAGAAGACATAGATGTATGCTTCTCCCCTTAACCCAGAAGCAATCTTCAACTAATTGCCACTTGTAAATGAAAACTTAGTTTTCTCCAAGAAATCTCACTGGGAAAATAAATTACACCAAGGTTAGGCTGCATACCCAGAAGTAGATTGCCTACAGGAAAGAAACTTAACAGCATCTTTGGAGGTTCCTTGTCTCAGAATGTCATATCAAGGCTTTTTATTCTTTTTAAAAAATGTAATCTTAAAAATTATGTTATATATGTTATATATTGCACACACACACACACACACACACACACACACACACACACACACACACAGAGTTACCCTACAGATCTTCTGTTGAGTGTTTTTATGGAATTTCTGAGCGTACAAATGAGTGGTTCTCTCTTGTGCCTTCTCTTGGGATCTTTTCCTTCTGTTTATTTTGTCCTATTTCAATATGTTAGTTTTTGTTTTATCTGATATTTTATTATATTA